AGCAAGCGGTCCGCCGTATGCCTACCGAATATTTCCTCTGATGAATGGCTATTGGCTTTTGAAGTAAACTATTACCAGTTCATTAATGGTGAGAAACCAGAAACAAGTTGTTGGTGGAAAGGGAAAGGCAAAGACCTTAGAGTAATATTTTGTAGAGCTTGTCAGTGAGGGAAAAAGGAGTAGAAAGGAATAGTATTAAAGTTAGCTGAGGCAAGGTAAGTTTGTATAGACAATCAAGAGGTCAGAGGGCAGAGAACTACAAGGCAACTGTGAGAGAAGTAGGCAAAGGAACATGAGATCCAAGCACAAGTGGAAAATTGTGTTTATATTTTATATTAGAATAAAATGAAATGTATTTTTTAAATTGTGGAATACTGATTCATTGAATTAGTCAGAAGAAAATAATCCCACCCTACATTGGAGTGGTTTTTGTTAATTAAAAATGGGGTTTATCTTAAAATTACCCTAAACCCCATAATTTTATTTCTCTACAGATAGTAGCTACTTCCTCTATTTGGATAGAGGGGATATCTCTCAAGTGGTTGCTTATGATGATCATCAACTCAGCCAAGCCTTTTTGATAAGTGTTTTAAACCAATTACTGACTTGTTCAATTGAATACTCAGATCTCCCATGAAATGACTTTAGTACAAGTAAATGACAGCTGCACTGCAGTGAAGGGACAGAGAAAGCTTTGCATTAGCTTGTCTCCAAGGTTACCATCTGCGCTGATCTGAGGTTTCTAGGTGGGGGGTTTCTCAACCCTGTACAAAGACTGTACTTCCGGTACAGGAATCAAGAGGGTATAAAAACAGCTTGAAAGGTACTGGAATACGTATTTGGCTCACATCCACGCTGACCATAATCATTCAGTTCTTCCAGAAAGACGTGTCTGTGTCCTGTTAGACATTATGTGTAAGGATCGCAGAAGTAGCGAGAATGTCAGGGTTCCCCCATCACCACCACCACACACTCACATCATATATATACCGGCAGCCCCTTCCCCTCTACCTCTTTATGAACAAGATCCTATCCCAAGTGTGTCTTTGAGTGGAATTTGTAGCTAAGTTTGATCAGGTGCATGTCGTTCTTATTTAGATTCACTTTAGTACAAGAAGAGCAGGCTGAGAAGCTAGGTAGGCATTGGGTAGCTTACCAGTAGGTCGGCAGTTCAAATCTACCAGTTGCTCAGCAGAGAATGTTAAAGCTACCTGCTTCTATAAAGATTTACAGACTTGATAGTAGTGGGTTTCATTTGGTTTGGTTAGTGCAAGAAAGGGGTCACTTGATACTGTGGTTTAAGCATTTTGACTGCTGCCACAAGGTTGGCAGTTCAAACCCACCGGTCACGTAGGATTTCCATTAGTTTTGCACTGAAATAGTGGCCTAACGATAACTCTTGGGCCTATGCTTTGACATATACTGTTTATTTTTTTAAAGTTTCCTTTACCCTGAAGATATGTTCCTTCCCTTGTTCCACAATGGCAGATGGTGACTCAGTAGTGTTTGAATTTTGGCTGTTAGCTAGGAACTCATCATATTCAAGTATGCAGACTGATGTCCACAACTTGTGGAAAGATTGTGAATCATCAAAATGAACAGAAAATTAGAAGTTATCTAACGATTGTAAAGATGTTTTCTCTGGGAACATTGCTTTGATGTGTTTAACTAAGTGCCATTTAAAGGAATAACAGACTCACGGATGAAGCCTTGGGGAAACATCAAAGCATATAAATGGATAGGCTTCTTTGGTTGTTTAACTCAGTTAACTTGATGGAATACTTAGTGGGTACATAATGTATTGATATTATTCTCAGAAATAATAGATCAGATAGATATACATTTTATTTATTCCCTCCCCACCCTATCCCCCAAACTTTAAATAAAAATAAAATATAGCTTAATTCCAAAATGGGTGTTAGAGTGATTACTGAAATTTCACTGAATGGTCACCATACATTTTTTAGTGTTCAAGTATTTACTTATAAGCTTCTAGTTTTTAAGTCAGAAAATATGAAATTGCCTAAGATATATTTTATTTTACCCATGAGTTTGTCAAAAGCCTGGTTGGTAGTTATTAAGAAAAGAGTGCACTTTTTAACATTACACATATTACCAGTATATTAGGAAAGTTTCCTCAACCCAAGAACTAAAATTGTATCTTTCACTTCTATTAAGTTGTCCCAGATTAATATACCATTGCCACTTTTGCCTATAACAGCAGTAGTTTAGTATAGCACCATCTAGGGCTCAAACTTCTTTACTTATGATTTCAGTAGATCTGCAGAAGTAAACAAATCTGAAATTGTGGCCTGCATATGTATGTGAATGCTCATCAACAAGAGTTTAACAATCAGTCGTAAAGTAACTGGCCTTCAGCATTGTACTCATTTGCAGATTTATCTAGGTGGGCTCAAATGCACAACAGCGCCTTGGACACTTACATGAGCAGCTTTGTGGCTGTTGACTTTACATTAATGTGGTGGAATAATTCCATAGGAAGTATAGCAAGTATGCCTACACACAAACAAACAAATCCCTCACTGCCATCTAGCCAATGCTGACTCATCAGAGCCTATCAGGACAGGGGAGAATGGCCCCTGTAAGCTTCCCAGACAGTACTCTTGACAGGAGTAGAAATCTCTGCCTTGCTCTTGCAGAGAGGCTGGTATTTCAGAGTGCTCACTGGCAGATTGCAGCTCAACGTGCAACCACCACTCTACCCGGTCTCCTGGCCCCTGAATTGTACGTGTAGACTGGATCGAAATGGCTTATCCTTTGCGCTGTGCATTCTACTAACAATAGATGAATCAAGTGAGTTATATCAGAAGCAGGCTGGTGTTAAAAAGGGGAACGAATGCCAGCTTTGAAAAATAGGCCAAAGGCTTGAACCCTTTTTCTTTTTAATTTCACAAATCCACATCAGAACGACCCATACATTAAAGCAAGAACAAAGCCTTAGTAAATGAAATACTCTCCTACCTCCTGGTTCTAAGCAATTCCGAATCTTAGGATAAGAGTTTTCCTGGGACTGAAGTCTGACGTCATGTTTTCCTTTTGAGCACTCCCAAAGGTAACACTGATGTGTTGGAGGGTAGTTTTGTAAACAGTGTAGCTGATTTTGTGGGCCTGGCTTTGCTTATTATTTTCTTTAATGATGTTTCTCACTGAAAACTTTTGGCAAAACCCAGAGTAATTCAATAAAAACAATTTGATTAGGAATCAACTAATGCCAACCAGATACCAGCTCTCTAAAAATATCTCAAGAATATCTTGAAGAGTAAATTAATTGTATCAGATAATATTCAATACATATTTTTCTCTTGTCACTGAAATTTTGAGATAAATCATGCGATAGATATTACACACACACACACACACACACACACACACACGCGCACACATGCACTGCTCTAGTGGATTCTGGCTCACACTCACCCTAGATAGAGGATTTCCGAGGCTGTAACTTTTACAGGAACAGATAACCTTATTTTTCTCCCCAGGAGAAGCTTTGGGTTTGAACCAGGGAACTTGCAGTTATCAATTCAACACTTAATGATTTCCCCACCAGGACTCAAAGAGTATGAAATAGCCTTTTGTGTGTTTGGGAGAATTTGGAATTCCTGTGTTCTTAGTAGAAGTAATCTGTGTACTTTGACAGTAAACAAAGTACAAGATGGAGCTGAAAGTTTCTTTGGGGATTGAAAGTTTCTAGGTAAGTGGTTCTCAACCTTCCTAATGCCGCAACCCTTTCATACAGTTCCTCATGTTGTGGTAACCCCCTCCCCCCCACCATAAAATTGTTTTCATTGCTACTTCAAAACTGTAATTTTTCTACTGTTATGAATCGGGCAACCCCTGTGAAAAAGTTGTTCGACCCCCAAAGGGGTCACGACCCACAGGTTGAGAACCACAGGTCTAGCGGTAGATTCTACCAGCCACTCTATGAGACAGAAATGAGGCAGTTGGCTCCTTTCAAGATTTAGTGTTTGAAACTCAATGGAGGAGTTCTACTCTGCTGTATAGGGTTGTTGTGAATGGGACTCCACTTGATTACAGTAGTTTATTTATTTATTTTTAATTTTTAGGATGGGGCTGCTTTTGGTTATGAATCTTTACAGCAGCAAATTCCATTGGCTGACTGAAAAAACAAGCAAAAAAACATAATTCATTAGAACTATGTTTTGTTTTGTTCTCTGTTCCCTTACAGGCACCCACATGCACTTATCCATGGACAACACTTTGCACATTGCATTTTTTTTAGTGCTTAAGAAATAAGATATACTTGCGTAAGGATTGTATTTACAGTAGGATTGTATTTACAGTAGATGCTCAAAAAAAGGTGTGGAAATGTTTGTTATGTAAATATATTCAGACTTCACTTCCAGATGTTAGGGTAAATTCTTACTTTTTCTGCTGTAGTAAGTGAATCAGAGTTTTTGTTACAGCCTTGGATATGGTCACAGAATGTGTTAAGGAATGAAGTGTTTTTAAGTATTTGCTCTAATTTAGGATTCTTGTTCCGAGTCTCTTATCCGAGATATGTAAACCTTGTTTAGAGAGAGCTTATAGAGCTAAACATGTTCTGTCTCTAAAAACACATTCTGTTCTTTCCCTTTATTCCTCACTTCAGGGCACGTTATTTACCTTTCACTTGATTTTAAAGGCAAGGCATTCAGCTTATCATAGGGTTGGTTTTATTTTACCTTTGTTTTATAATGTGCTTAAATTTATAAATTTACTATATAAAATATAGTAATTTAATAATAAAATACATCATAGTTTGATAATAAAATATATACAATTAAATATATATTTCTTCAGGGTGTCTCATACCATGACTAAACCATTTACCTGTCGTAAAGGTGCTAGGAGTCAGACTCTAGTTATTGATATCTGTAATCCAGATATCTTCCAGGGTGGAAGATCAGATAGACTAGGTAATAAAACTCACTCTATGCATTCTTTTTATAGATATTCTCAAACCGTGAATAGCTAAGTGGTTTATACACCAGTCCAGTGGCAAAGCTGAAATTCCCAGTGGCCCGGTCTACTGATCCGCTTGTCTGAAATCAAGAGAAGACTTCTCCAGTTGCTACAATGTCTGTATCCAATCTATCATGGTGAGTGGTTTACTACATAATCCTAAATGCAAATGATTGTATCCCATAAAGAAAGAGTTGTTAGAATTGGATTAAGGAAAACAGAATGTTTGGGTTCCAGACATTTTTGTTGACCTCTATTGTTGTGTTTAGGTGTTGTTGAGTTGGCGCTGACTCCTAGCGACCTGTGCAGCAGAGTAAACCCCATCTGGTCCTGCACCATCCTGACAGTTGTTCTTGTGTTTGAGCCCGTTGTGGCAGCCATTGTATCAATTCATCTTCAGATCGAATGCATGACCTTTGTTAGGGCTGATTAATGCTGCTTAGGATGAAATGTTTGAGCCTCAGATGATTTGTTATGTAGGCTGAAGCCTCACGATGATTCCCACTGCCAGCCAATCTTTCAGGCACACACAGGAATAGCATTGCCTTTCACTGTTTCTCATGCCTACCTTCCTGATAGAGACAAGAAGGACAAGCTATGCGGTTGACCTACATGGATGGGATGAATATTATTTTCCTGTTGGTTCTTCTTTCCTTCCCGCTTTATGTTTCAACATAACTCCTCAAATTAAACTGAACGGAACTTATATATAGAAAAACAATTCCGTTATAGAGTGATTCATCAAAGTAATCAGTATTTTAAATGATCTTTGTTGAAATCTGTGATAAAAAAAATACAAAGATTTTTTTATGGCAAATTAGCCAATGGCTTTTCCATGGCAATAGATAAGAACTCTGGCAGGGATACATTTGAAGTAATTTTATTGAAGAGCTGCATCAATGAAATTGTACATAAAGGCAATATATATGTGAAAGTAAGAAATTAATTTGTAGTTTTTCCGTTTTCCTAACCTTAACTCACTTGTCCTTACTCTTCCACTTGTGCCAGAAATGTAGATAGTACCAATTTGAAGAGCAGTTCTCTACTGCAACTGGGTTCCATGAATTGCTTCTTAGTTAAATAAGCAGGTTTTTTTTTTTTTTT